TCAAGGAAAACATTTCAGAGAGAAGTTCGTAAATTATGTGTTTACAGTGTCTTCCTGATGTACTTTAAAGATTGTCAAATGACTTCATGTGGCATAAAACAATGTCTTAATTATAAAGTTCTACCTTTTGAGTTTTCATATTTTGATTATCTTAGTAAGAGTTATAAGTTGCTAAAATAACAATCAGTTTTTTTATGGTATGACATCCTTTTAAACAGTGATAGCATTTTGTGTGGTTAAATTTATATTAAGACATCTTGAGCTGATATGTTTCATATTTTAGATATTAGTGAAAACTAATAGGGTTAAGCTCTGGAAAAAAGCATGAAAAAGAGACCACACTAATTCAATAAAATGTAATATATTCCAGAACATCCTTCCCTGCAGCTTTGTGCATTTCCCACCAATCTGTGTACTAACTTTGAATATACTGTAATGAGATTTGGTAGAGTCACCTCTGCAGCTCTTCTCCCAATAGGGAGAGTGCTGGAAGAAATAGAATTGCCAGGTCTGCACAACATGGTGTCTCAAAACCTCCCTTTGCGTATGAAAGATAAAGTCATTGGGAGGCATGAGAAATGCAACTCAGGTGCGCATAATACTTAAGTCTAACATGAAGTGAGGATGCTTTTTAGTGAAACATACATGGGGTATTAGAAGATGCAGATTTGATGAGCATATTTAAAAAATATTTAGGATAATGCATGATTTTTGAGTATCACCTAATAAACATGATAAATGAATAGCACAAGGCTGGATGTGATATTTTATACATCTTTACATTTCTGGAACAACATAATTTTTGACATTCGTGGACTTTTAATATTTGTTGACAGCACTGCAGATTACCTTTCTGGGGGAATTTGGATATTGTTTTAAATAATTATGCAACAAGATTAATCATGGATTTTTTATCACATTATAATAATCTCTAGAAAAACATTATTTGTGGTGCTTGACTATTACGAAGTTAAATTTATGCTAAAGATAAGGAATAAATGCCAATTACCAGATTTTATTGCTAAATTCATGTATAGCCTCACAAAGATCCAATCAGAAGGTGGCATTTGCATCTGAATTTCTAAAATCATGTGAAACTCCCTATTAACAAGTACATGTTCATGCTCATTATGAAACTTCTTGGTAAAGTATGCTAATTACTTTGCTGCACTCTGTCTCCCAAACCACAACGATTCCTATTATAAAAGCAAATCACTGCAAACTTCAAACAGCATGCATCCTTGAGATGCCGCTATTAAAGGACGAACAGTGATGGGAAATCTTTGACGTTGTCAGACAGGATGGAAAATACACATTTGTATTTGAGTAAATCCTGTAGACCGAAGCATTTCCCCCCACCCTTAAATAACCTGAAACCAATTTCAAGTTCCCAAATGCTCTTCAAAGCAACCTGCTTGGAAGTAATGCTGATGGCATTTCAAATTTCAAGGCAGGTTGCTTTTTCCATCTCAAGACTTCAAGCAGATTGGAAATTGCACTTTCAAAGAAAAAGGATATTACCTACTTTTAGCCAAACCACTAGCCTCTGGTTTGATGAACAAAATGTCATAGGCAACGAACTTACCTATGGTAATGAAAAGATGATATGTAACCGAGTAACTCAGAGTCTGAATAATGCAGCTAAGTCTAGAGAATTCTAAAATGTAAGTGTTTAGATAACTTCATGCTCCAGTTTTTTCTTGTTCTGGTGTTGTTGACCACACGTTGGAGTGTAAACTTTGGGCAGGTGGCAGGTCCAGTGTACAGAGCTGTAATTAATCCATCTCCTCCTGGATGGGGCATCTGTGAAGCTGCAGACAAAAATCGGTGTGTGCTTGACTCCTGTGCCCATGGGGAGCCTGGGCCACACAATTCAGGACATTCATACGATGAATAATCCCTGTAGCAGGCGGGTCTGTGACTTCTTAAAAGGATTTAGATTTGTGCTCAGTAGAAACATCGATGAGCCTCTTAGGGCAAAAGGATACAGTGGCCCTCATGAAGTTCTCCTAGCATTTAATTAGGTTTCCTGTAATTGCTTTAAGTAAAAGGTGGCGGGGTGGGGGTGGGGAATGAAACCTGAAGTTATCATCTTGGGACACAAAATATTTGTATGTGGTTTTACTATCCTGAGCCCGTTTGTTGCTGCTCTACATTTTGGAAAGAACCATTATAATTTCTAAGGAAATACTGCAGGTTTATCTGCCCTTTGGTGACTGCAGCAACCTTTAGAGGAAGAGTTTCGTTTCCAGTAACTGACTTTCTGCATGAACAGAGAAGGTATAAACAATTAAGACAGACAAAAGTATTAAACACCAGAGAGTGGAGTAAAAAGAAAGGAGGCAGGAGAGGAGGGAAGGCTCTGCCCCATCTTTGCACAGATTTCTAGATACCAGAAAAATGAGAACAATTACAATGAGACAGGAAAATGAAAGGCCCAAGCAAGGACCAGGAGAAAGGAAGGAAATTAGTGTTATTTGTTAATAAGTTGGTTTTTTACTGTGGAGACTTGCTTTATTGGTTGGACATTGGCTAAAATAATATAGTAAACTTTTCATAGAAGGGTGAGGGATTGGGATATGCCAGTTACTTGAAAATTCTTTTTAAACTGATCACTCTATAAGCATAAAAACGTTACTAATTTCCAAAATGTTAAAATAATACTTAATAAACTTTTGTAAATAGAGTCGCCCCATCAGGATTTTGCCGTGCCTTGGGTTTATCAAACCCACTTTCCTGGGCTTCATTCCAGTTCAGTGGACCTAAGGACTTAGTTGTTTCTGTGACTCAACTCCCATCAGCTTGTGATAGGAAGAATTGTTTATCCCCCAATGGGTCAGCACCTACTATTGTCGGGCGGTTGTTAATTTCCCTGAGTGCTTTTACCCGTATGAACATGTCCTAGATTTTAGGGTAAGTACTGGAATACCCCTTTTTAGGCTCTCCAGATGACACCTCTTTCATGTTACTTATACCAAGAAGTCATGATCAAACATTTTAAAATATCATAACTTTTAGGAACTAGTTAAACTTTATACCTTGTACATATCATTATACCATATATATCGTATATATATTTATATATGTATATTTTTAAATTCTCATCTGATTATGTCATCTTCTTGCTTAAAACACTTGGTTCTCAGAAAGAAATCCCAGATCCTAAACATGGTGTACAACAGTGGTACTCAAACTGTAACGTGCATCAGAATTTTTGGAGGGCTTGTTAAAATATTGCTGGGCCGAACTCTCAAGTTTTCTTGTTCACTGAGTCTGGAGTGGGGCCCAGGAATTTGCATTTTCAACAAGTTCCCAAGTGATGTTGATAAAGCTGTTTTGTGGGCCATACTTTGAGAACTGCGGGTTTACAAGAATGTATATAAAGTGGTCCCTTTCTTGTCTCTAGTTTCATCTCATGCTAGTATTCTCTGTGTCCAGTGCTCAGTTGTCTTCTCCTGGGTTCTCAGTCTCCTCCTTCCCTTTCCTACTTCTTCCCATGTGCCCTGTCCCTCTCCCCATAGGATTTAATCAACCTAACTCACGTTGGAGCCTTTTATGTATCCTCCTCCCAAAAATAAAAGTTCATTGAGGGCAATGACTATTTTACTCATCAGAGTGTCACAAGTACCTAGTGCAATATGTTCTACATAATTGATACTCAGTAGATATTTGGTGAATGAATGAATGAATAAACAGTACAGAGTCATACATTTAACTTTTCTTACTGTGCTCATACTTGACCCAGAGCAAATTCTCCTACTCCCTAAATGGTGCCCCTGTCAGTTCTCTCAGTAGACACTCCATGCTGGAAGTATGTGCAAGAGAACTGGCAGCTGCCCACATATATTGTTCAGATAATCCTTCTTGCTCGTGCAAAGAGGCATACTGCAGGATGAATACCCCTAAAATGATAACCCCAGATTCTTAGTTCAATTTTTGTTATTTTACGATTACATAATACTGTGAAATAAATTCCAATTATTTGAGCATTTTAACTAGAAGCCACTTTATTTTTAACAGGATTTTGGTTACATTGTTATTATAGAGAAACACTTGGGCTTTCAAAATATTACTCATGAAAACCTTAAAGTCATACATTCTTTGGATAGAACAGCAGAGGTTTGTTAACTAAGGCTAGTATTTCTTTTAAGAAAAACAATGTGCCTTAATAATAAACAAAACTGGGCTTCCCTGGTGGCTCAGTGGTTGAGAGTCCGCCTGCCGATGCAGGGGACACGGGTTCGTGCCCCGGTCTGGGAAGATCCCACATGCCGTGGAGCGGCTGGGCCCGTGAGCCATGGCCGCTGAGCCTGCGCATCTGGAGCCTGTGCTCTGCAGCGGGAGAGACCACAACAGTGAGAGGCCCACGTACTGCGTACCGCAAAAAAAAAAAAAAAAATAATAATAATAATAAACAAAGCTGTTTAAAATGACTTAGTTTTAAAAAATCACCACATATTTATAAAGGACTAGGTCATGTAATAAAAACTGATACACATATTTGTGCATATAAATATATATATTGACGATTTATATACTTATTATTATAGTTTTTTGGTCATTCTCATTTCATGTAAAGAATTAGGTAGACTTAGTTATTGTAAAGCTATGTACAGCATATGGGTATCTTACCCACAACCTGTATAATTAAGATAGAATCCTTAGAAGATGTTAAATTCAAGTTACTGTTTCAATACACAGAGGAAGATACCTTGGTGGAGGGTGAATGTTATGCTATAACGGGAAAGGTGTAATTCTGTGGAGTGATAGACCAAGTCCACTTTCATTATCTGGTGAATCCAGAGATTTGAAATAGCAAATAAGAGAATGAAAAAAGTGTGGACAAGTAACTGGATCCAGAGGAAAATCAGAGGAGATGAGAGGCAATATCTAGGACGTTGGTCTATGGCATCAAGAAGGATCACTGGAGGAAAAATATGTGTATGGTGTTTTGTTAATACAAGTCTTCTCCTGACTTAAATCTTCCTTTGCCTTGGCAGGTCTCATTGTCCGGGAAGTAAGCATTGAGATTTCACGCCAGCAAGTGGAAGAACTCTTTGGGCCTGAAGATTACTGGTGCCAGTGTGTAGCCTGGAGCTCGGCGGGTACCACCAAGAGCCGGAAGGCCTACGTGCGCATTGCATGTGAGTCACAGTGCAGGGACACCGTGGATTCCAGAAACTGATGGAAAATGGGAAAATTTAGACCATAAGTGCTCTAGTGTCAAAGAACCCTGGTTAAAAATTGCTCCCAGATTTCTGAATTTGAGCTACACTTTCCCTTTAAATCACCCCAATATCATTTTATTTTGTTTCAAGCACTGAGTAATTTTCCTTTATGGGTGTGAAAGAATTCGTGCTACTTTCAAAAGATTGAATTTTCTTTTTTAATCTGGTAGTAATTAGGCTATGGGAAAACCAACTATATTCCTTTAATGAGTTTATTCTGCCAGTCTGTTAGGACAGTGTTGACTAGTTTTGCTCTTAGAAATAGAAGTTACCCAGACAGTTTCTCTGTTTATCTTAGAACTGTTCTAGTGCCTCAGAACACACCACTGTTTTCCAAACTGTGCTAATTTCTAGAGTATTTGTGTTGAAGGAGAGGTTAAAAGGTGCCTCACACACAAAAAGAGTGTTCCATAATCAATAAACGTGGGGAATACCTTTTTTTTGGACAAAGTTAAAGAGGTTTCTTCATTGAAAAACTTTCTAGATTCCTTAATATGCTAATGTGCATATTATCCCCAAGGAGGAGATGTAGTCTGCAGCTCTTTCTGCAGACCCTTTTCTCAACAAGTACTATTCACACCTTGAGCGGCATGAATGCTGCTTTAATCTGTCTTTAGGTTCCATACTGAGAAATTTTCTCAAGTATGAGACCACTGAAACCCATGTAAATTTTATTATCTGAATTCCTTTGCATGTCTGTATTTTACTAAATTTCAATTTGCATTGATGTCAATGTCACTTACCTGTAATATGTCACTAGGTCTGATGCTTTTGGCTCTGATGCTTCCCCCAATTCTGTTCTCGCCTCTTCCTTCCCTTCTGCTTGATCTAGATCCCAACCGTTGCAAACACTTCCCGGTTAGTCTCCATGACTCGAGTCTTTTCCCTTTTCTAATCCTTCCTCCATATTACCACAAATGCAAGATTTCAGAAGATTCCTAAAACTCAGGTCTCATCTCAGCTCACCTCCATCTCTGCTAAATTTTTATAGTGGCTCATGAGATAAAGTCAAAATTTCTAACAATTGTATATATCACTGTATTAGTTTGCTAGGGCTGCCATAACAAAATTCCACCGACTGGTGGCTTAAACAACAGAAATTTATTTTCTCACAGTTCTGGAAGCTAGAAGTCCAAGATCAAGGTGCTGGAAGTATTGGCTTCTTCTGAGGCCTCTCTCCTTGGCTTGTACATGGTCATCTTCTCCATGTCTTCATACTATCTTCCTTCTGTAACTGTCCACATCCAAATTTCTCTTCTCATAAGGATGCCAGTCATATTGTTTAAGGCTACCAGTATGGCCTTAATGGCCTCATTTTAACTTAATCACCTCTTTAAAGGCCATATCTCCAAATAAAGTCACATTCTGAGGTACTAAGGGCTAGGATTTCAACATGTGAATTTTGGCGGGGGGTACACCTTTCAGCCCATAACAGCCATATTTCATTGTTTACATAAGGTAACCTAAATTTCCAGCTCTGACCACAAAGAATGTCTCCAATCGAGTCACACTAGATTAGAAATACTTCCATTTCTATACTTTCCAGCTATTGTTCATATGAAAGGTTTCACGTTTCTCTTACTTCCTTTCATTATTTGTAAAAACTTATTTATTCAATGAATATTTAGTAAGCATTTACTCTGTTCTTGGGACAATTGTAGGTATTGGGTATGGAGCCAGAATCAGAACATATAATGATCCCTGCCCTCAGGAGGTTTATGTCTGGTGAGCAAGGGCACGCTCTGTATGAAATAAATAATCAGAGACAGAGCAGATGTTAACTGCTATGAAGAAAGATAAGTGGGAAAAGGGGGTATGTTGTGCTGGGGAGGGTGGTCAGGGAAGGCCTCCAGAAGAAGTTGACAGTTGAAGAAACCTGAAAGAAGGGAGAGAAGAAGTCAGGCAGAGGGGACAGCAAGTGGCATAAGTACAGATGCCCTGAGGCAGGAATGTGCTGGCGGGTACCAAGAAGGTCGAATTAGCCAGAGTGGCTGGAAGAGAGTGAGCAAAAGTAGACCCCTGGGTGAGCTGAGAAAGGTATGGACAGGAGGGCAGTGTGGAGATGGCCTAGGCCCTGTGGGTGTAACATCTGTGGTCCACAGCATGAAATGAGAACTTCAGAATGTTTTCAGCAGAGGAATTCATGACACGACTTCCATTTTAACAGAACACCTGACTGCTGTGTTGAGAATAGACCATGAGAAGCAAGAGTAGAAGCAGGGAGACCAGTTACGAGGCTGTGGATGTGGGAGATGTTAGGATACATAGATTAGAAGCTGTGGAGCAGTGAGACCTGGATTCTAGATATATTTAAAGGCAGAGGTAGTAGCTTTCTTTTGAGAGGTTAGATGTGGGATGTGAGAGAAAGAAAGGAGAGAATGATTCGAAAGGCCTGAGCTTGTTGAAGGATTTCTCTCAGTTGTCCTTAGTGAAGTCATTCCTGCCCCACCAGTCTCCAGAATGATAGGTGTTCCTTTCTCAAACCTTTCAGAGCAGTTCATCCATCCTCTTAATACAGGCTTGTCTCCTTTGAATTATATTCACTTTGAATTATATTCACTTGTCGTGAATATAAATGTATTCACTTAGTGGGTGCTGCAGCTTTCCACTGCAGAGAGAGGAGTTCCTTCTGAGGGGACTCAAGTGGACACTCTAATGACTGTCCAAAGTAGAACGCTTATGGTGACGCAGCCTTCAGTTTCATTGGGTTGTTTCTTCCAATGTCCCTTGTGATAGGCCAATGGGAGAATTCTGAGTGTTAAGGTAGGAAAATGTAATTCAGGCAAAGTGTCAGCAAACACTGTCTTTCTTCAGGAAACGTCTTGGCTGCTATTTCTGCTGTTGGTTGTGATCGTTGCTGATGCAGTTCATGGTTGCTTGTGTCAGGGGATGGTAGCTATAATGTGAAAAGAGTAGCAGAGTGGCGTAGTTAGAGCACACATTTGGGGCCAGGTTGACTTATGTATTCACACCCTGGTTCCATCACTTACTAGTGTGACCTTCATCAAGCAACTTAACCCCTCTGACACTTAGTTCCGTCAACCATGAAATGAAAATGATAGGGTTATTTTAAGATTAAACTAGAATAAACTTGTAAAGCCTATGGCATAGTGCCACACACAAAGCAAATGCTCAGTGTATGATAATAATGTTCATAACCACAGAGATAATGAGTCATACAACTTTATTTGTGCATTTTGAAACTTATCAATATTAAGTTAACTTTAAAAACTAAAACGTTTTTCCTTCTTTCACCACTTCCTGTACCAGGCCTGGGCTGTCAGTCCTAGAGGTTGAAGTTCTCTGCCGATTCAAGTATAATTAGACTGTAATTTTGTCCCTAAGCCTGAGGCCAGAGGAGCCCTGTATACGGTCACCCTTCTCCTCAATTCAGTAGTTACAATGGATTTATGTGCACGGACAATCCATCTTCCTGGGAATGTCAGGATAGTTCCTGAGGAGTTTCTCGTTCTTATGTGTGCAAAGGCCACTGACTACAGATTGGAATAGGATGGTTTCTGGGAGGAATTAAGGAGGATCAGAGTGGCCCTCTCTGCCCTCCTCTCATAGCTCACTCATCCTTTTCCCTGAGATTGGAACCACCTTGTGAGCCATGTGTAGGTTTGGGCCAAGCCATGTTTACATCTTTGAGTCTGTAGTGTCTAGCATGCTGTCCAGAATAACAGTGTACGAGGAAATACAATGCCAGCCACACGTTATTTCAACTTTTCTGGTGGCCACTCTTAAAAAAGTAAAAAGAGGGCTTCCCTGGTGGCGCAGTGGTTGAGAGTCTGCCTGCGAATGTGGGGGACACGGGTTCGTGCCCCGGTCCGGGAAGATCCCACATGCCGCGGAGCGGCTGGGCCCGTGAACCGTGGCCGCTGAGCCTGCGCGTCCGGAGCCTGTGCTCCGCAACGGGAGAGGCCACAACAGTGAGAGGTCCGAGTACCACAAAAAAAAAAAAAAAAAAAAATGTAAAAACAAGCAGAATTAAACTATCATTTCAATAAAATAACCAATGTAACATTCTTTTTTCATATTAATCTTTGAGATCTGGTGTGTTTACACTACAGTACTTCTCAGTTGAGACTAGCCACATGTCAACTGCTCCATAGCCACGTGTGGCTCATGTTGGACAGATGGGCTATAGAATAATAATAAAAGATACACTGTTTCAATTACTTTTTCACCTCACATAGTTACCGTGTGTGCGTGCGTGTGGTGAAAACACTTAGGCTCTCTCTTAGCAAATTTTAGCTATGCAATACAGTATAATTAACTATAATAACCATGCTGCACAAAAATATCCCCAGAATTTATTCATCTTGTACCTGAAAGTTGGTACCCTTTGACCAACACTTACATGAATTAGCTCATTCAGTACTTGCAACAATTCTGTGTGACAGGTGTTATTATCCTCATTTTACAAATGAGGAAATGTAGGACAAAGGGAGATTAAAAAGCTGCCTGAGGTCAAAGCGCATATATGGAGAAGTAGGTCAGACCAGCAAAGGAGTCCATGCTTTTAACCAACAAACTGGATACAAATAAGAGAGGAGGTGACCATGATTTTGTGTCTGGTGGCAGTTCACAAAAATATCTTATTTTCCACATGCGTAATGATATAGGCTAACTATTATTTACAATGCAGAAGTGAAAGAAGGCCTTGGGTTCCTGCCTCTCTCCTGTTGCTTGGTCTGCTCCACCTATACCAGTTTGTTTTTAGAATGTTTAATACACTCATCCCAGATGCAGGCTGTTTGCAATAACTCTTCCCTCCCACCTGGAATATTCTTCCTCAACTCTACCAGTGGCTCACCTCCTTCTTTCATTCAGATTTCTGCTGAGACATCAGCTCTTCAGAGGGATTAACCCTGACCAATTTACCTAACACCCACTGTCGCCAACTCTGTCAC